TCTCTCTCTGGCAAAACTAGCAGACAGATTGTAATTGAACAGTGTCATAACTCAGGAATGTACTGCACTGGCAGAACTGTTTAGGGAAGTTTGCATAACAGCTGCTTGCAACATGCCTTATTCAAGCCCACACCCTCAATTTCACAAGCACTGAAATTACTGATGATTTTTTTTTTAAGTAATCCACTAGTTGTACAAGAGAATTCTTGTACTTGGCCCCCTGTACTGCTTAAAGTGAAAATTCCCTGAAAAGATGCATCCCTTCATCATATATTCATCAGAGAATCATAGAAAATGAGGGTTGGAAGGGACATCAGGAGGTCACATCTAGTCCAACCCCCTGCTCAAAGCAGGACCAGCCCCAACTAGATCATTCCAGCCAGGGCTTTTTTGAGCCTGGCCTTAAAAACTCCCAAGGATGGCGATTCCACCACCTCTGTAGGTAACTGGCTCCAGTGCTTCACCGGACTTCTAGTAAGAACCTAGTATCTAAACCTCCCTTGCTGCAACGTGAGACTATTGATCCTTGTTCCATCATCTGCCACCACTGAGAACAGTCTAGCTCCATCCTCTTTGGACCCACCCTTTGGATAGTTAAAATCTGCTATCAAATATATTTGATATAGAAATAATATTTGTATCTGTTTCTCTTTGTTAATATTCTAAGCTCCTTCCTCCTAACCATAGTCACATGAGTAAACCTGAAATCAATGGGAGTTCTCCTATTAAAGGGACTGATGTCATTTAAAAAAAATCCCTGCTCACTGCTGATGTTGGCTCCTTTTAACTGCTTTCCCCCCATTAAATTATCACTGTGGCAGACATGTAAAGGCATGTTTTGTGTTGGACCAGTTCTACCTACCTTGCTTTGGCCACGTGGTTATATTTTCAGGTTTCCTGGTTCTCCAGCTCTTAACTATGAAGAGTGGCCAATATTATTCTTCTGGGGAGAGGTGATAGAGTGGGGAAAGTGTCTTGTGATGGCTCCGGAGACATATGATTGAGCCCAGTTTTGCTATCGCTCCCCCTGCCCCACTGCTCCCCAACATCAATCCAAATGTAATACCTAGTAATGCAGGCTCTGGAGTCAAAGGTGTCTGGATGTGATACCAGCTGGCCTCTCTTTCCAGTGCTATTGGCTGTAGAAACTGTTGTGCCGTAAGCATGCTGGTTTTATGGCGTGTTAAGCTCATACAGACCTTTGGATTTAGACTTGAACAGTAATCTGGCTGGGATATCAGCATGGGATATGAATTTCAGTTTGGATTCCATTCCTATTTTTAAACTAAATATAAATCAATACAAAATTATAAATTAATTTACAACAAATGTCCAGATTTGCTTGTGTTTTTTGTTTGTCTGTGTTACCCAAAAGACATGAAATTTTAAACTTCACATTTTCTCTCCTGCGTGCTAAGAAAGATTGCCAAGTTGCCTAACAATTAAGTATGAACCTTACGTAAGTTGACTTCATCATGCCCCTAACCCAGGTGTTGACACGGTGCCACCCTTTTTTAAAATTGTTTTAAGTATTGCATATAACAAAACACCGGAAGGGTCGAGCCACTTGTATAAGCTGTACTCAACACTTCTCATTCAAGAACAGTTCATAGTGAAGTACAGAGTACTGAATAAGGACCTTCTGAGAAGAGAAAAGAGAAGACAGAATAAAGAAAAAAGAAAATAAAGGATTTTATTTATTTTGGATACAGTGGCCCAAGTAGGATCAGGGCCCAACTTAGCTGGGGACTGCATAAATATACTTTACAAGTATTCTTACATCTATGTATTACAGTGGCAACAGTATTGGCAGTTAAACAGCTGTCTAACTGCCTCTGAAAGCAAATGCATCTGAAAATACTAGATAATATATTAACTAATACCAAGTTCCAATATTTGTCAGAGTTCAATAACGGATTTCCAGAATTCTCCAGAAAAGGAGATGGAAATACTGCATTGAAGATCTAGGGTAAGTATGAAGCCAGAGCACCGGCAACAGCAGGGATGTCTACAGGTGTAGCCTGTAGGAAGGATCAACCAGAGAGGAGTCCTTCCAGTGAACAATACTTAAAGAGCAGAAATTTGTGGAATTTAACAAAAGTGTCCGAAAATAACCCAGATTGGCAGAGCCTTGTTTGTGCCCTAAGTAGTATTTAATGTCACAGAAAATATTCAGATGGGAAATTTGTTGCAGCCCTTCTGTGATTATATCTAGTCCTAAAAGGGATCCAGAGATCAGGCACAGAGTCTAACACTTGAAAGAGTCCTGTATCCCTACAAAAGGCTTCATTGGGGAATCTTGTCTGAGTGGAGGCCAAGAAGTTTAATTTAAAGCACTCACATTTACTTCAAAGAGGAGCAATGTGCCAAGGATGTTTTGTGGTATCTCTGATTGTACAATTCCAAGAATGAAAACCTAACAATCTTTTCAGGAATCTATTTATAGTTCCCCTGTATGTTTCCCTCTGTCATGCTGCCAACTCATCTTGGTTTCAGCTGATTCTTGAAAGAAAAAGTGTTCACCAGGGATTTCACTGTTACAAACTTGCTGGAAGTTCTTTCCGCAGAAGATCCTGATACATTAAGATTGCACTTCTTCTGTGACACCTGCTGGTATGAACTCTCACATGTGCCCCACGCAAAATGCAAGTTGAGACACTTCAAACCAGTGGTTTGCACTGGGGTTATTGCCCAGAGGCCCAACCAGGACTGGGAATCCCGTTGTACTAGACAAGTACAAACACATAAGATGACACAGTGCTTCCTATGAGCCATCTGCAATCTGATCCAAGACCTCAGATTGAGACATACAGTACACATGTTTTTAAATTATTTAAATAAATACATTTTTAATTAAAGCAGTTGGACATATCTTCTTCCTTGCCAGCCAAGAATGTGAGGACTGTGCTTTCCCTGCCACAGGAGATAACCCCACTGCAACCTGAAGTAGTGTTGGGCATGTAGTTCTCTGTATGACACTCAGTGTTAGCAAGGACACTTCTCTACTGGGAATTTCAAGATGAGCTTAAAATCACACATGGCAATACATAATTTTTTTTGCTATCAGGGTAAAGTACTGTTTAACTTATATGATACAAAGGCGCTATTACTTTCAAACTAGAATGAGGGTTTATCTTGTTTAAACACACATGCGTGCACATGTGCATGCACACACACATACAATTTTAGCAACAGTTCGAACACAGAGATAACATTAAGGCAAACTATATGCCATCTCTGATGTACTTCACATCAGTTATTGTGGCTCAGGAAATCCCTCTACATTTGTTTTTAACTAAAATGCATTGTTCTAAATTGCTTCCATGGTGGGTGGCAGCTACAGCTCTCCATCCTCTTGCTTCTACTGTGATCAGGACTATTAGTATCAAAGCAATTCAGGAAGCACCAGTGCCACTGCAGTGTCATCCTGCCACGTGTTGTGTAGACCACTGAGGCAAGAAACCTCCATGACCCAACACTCGAGAGTTTGCAATATAAAGAGACAAGCAAGGGTAGAAAAACTAACACGTGTTACCATTCAGAGATGGGTAACAAAGGCCCAGAGGTATTAAGTGACTTCTAGGGTCACACAGAGAGTCTGACAGGAAAAGAGAGAGTGCACCCAAGCCAAGGAGATCTGGGTGCAATATTAACTAAAATGATAACCCCTCTCAGGATGAGTTCATGGACTGTTTCACACACAATATTACCCCATGGTTTCTTAATTGTAATTTCATTTTAAATTAAATTTTCATGGTTAAGAATTTCCACGATCACTAGTATGTTACTACCATAGATACATGTTTTATGCTGCCATACTATATATATGTAATAATAGCTCAGACTGTTTTGAGTCTCTCACTGTTTCTTCCATTGTATACTACTTGAAAATGTTCACGGGAATTACTTTTTATGTTGTCAGTTTGCATGTAAGCTACATCTGTGCCTGTTGCTGTTACTGAGTTAACACCCTATCCATTACTGCTGAGTCACCAAACATGTGGTATATAACCAACGATTTACCTTTCCCTTGTACAGCAAACTTTTCGAAACCATTTACTTCTCAACCTGTTTCTCCATACGTGGCAACTACAAAATACACGGGAAAGAATCTCAACTCTGCATGTCGTGGTTTTCCATTGTTTACATTTCAGAAACCATATTCTCACGTTCAGAGGTGACACAAAAGGCTGAGAACATTGCTAAAGGCCTCTGATCTTAAATCTATGTCAATATTGTATTTGAACATGCCTAGCTTTAGACATTTCTCCCACCAGCAACAAAACAGTCGCATGTACAGTTTCCACAAAAGTCTCCTCTCCATTAGTGTGAGTTGCTCTAACACACAACAGTTCCCAATATGGCTTGCCTCTCCATATGAGTTGGCTCTTGGCCTCAGTTTGTTTCCAATTTCTCTATCCCAACCTCTCTCACTCATCATTTCCTGCATTTATCCAAGATATAATCTGACCTTTTAATGTAAGGAGTACCTCCCAGCATTGCAGTCAGTACAATTTGAGATCACTCCGAATTTTACACTTTGGTGTTCAGCACCTCTCAAGATCAGAACATTAGACTTCAAGTTCTTCAAGGCATAGGGATCAAATCTCACTGATTTTGTAAAATGTCATTCAGTTAAGGGTGCTCAATAAAAAATCCACAAACTACCCAGCCCTAAAACTTTTTAATTACTGAGTTCAGGGAACAGGACAACTTGAGATGATTCACCCCATGAAGAGTGATCTTCCCCTAGAAATAGATCATGGAACAAGTGACAAGAACAGGTGGGCCCACTTTTCCAGGACTTCTGAATGTAAAATAACTGGAGATTATGTTCCCACAGATTTTTGCTACAATCTAGTTTCTTTTGAGTTCTGTCACAGCAATCTGCATGTGCAAACCTCTCTCAAAAGACTTTCAGCTTAGTCACCAATTAAGATAAAGCAATGTGTCTGATGTGTTGTCATTTAATTTTATTACACTTATGCAATATTTTTTTCATGGGTTATTTTTGTTTAGCCTGAAAACATCTCACATAATTAATTTTCTGCTCCATTTCGATACACTAGTCTGCATTGGTTATTGTTGATGATGTCTTTCCTCGATGACAGCTCAAACACTGCTTTACACTGTCAACCTCAAGGCTCACTGCTCCATCATCAAACATACTCAGGAGTGGTTGTTATCTTCTACACCAGCAAGTCAGATCCTTCCTGACAAAGAAACACAAGATAGTTGCGTTCATCTTATGAATATCTTGTTATAGGCATCTTGGGGTTTTTTTTTCTTAACTGAACTCACAGTGGGCTGTTTGTCTTCTTTGGTCTCCTCCATCTTGTGCACCAGTTCTTACTGGAGTATTAGTGGTATAAGCTGTACAAAGTCAAGAGAGGGGCAAGGGTTTCTTTGGGCGATATTTTTTGTTGGACCAATGGTATAGTTGGGATAGAGTTAGACAAGCTTTCAAATACAAGACATTTTTTGGGTCTGACCAGAACAATCCAGGCACAACACAGTAAAAAACAGTTGCATGAGAGAAGTTTCCAGGTACAGGAAAAACATAAGAAAAGCAGATTTCTGGGAGATGAAGAAGAAGCAGAAGAAAAGAAGAAGAAAAGAAGCAGATTTCTGGGAGATGAAGGCCTACCAAAAATAGAGGAGGATCATTCTCACCTCCCCTGTGTGGAAAGAGTTCAGGAATCAGGTAAATTATAATGTGCCATATATCAATATCAATGTTAAGTCCTCAGTTCTTAGTGTCCAGCCAGCACACACATTTTTTTGTTCCCAGGTTCACATTTTAAAGGCGTCAGATAGATTTTCCTTGAGTACAAAGACAGTGAGATCAGAGACAGAGCAGTTGCTCTGTGAGAAATGTACTCCTAATGGTGTGTGTGTGGCTCTGTCCTTTATATTTTTTTTTGTGAGAGTTAATTCTGGTGCATAGTTGTTTCATTTCACACGCACAGTTGCCATGAGGACATTTAATACACTGGATCAGGTATATCACATTTTGGGAAAGGCACGTGGTGGATTCTGATGGTTTTGTCATTGGGAGTGTTGTCTGTAATTGCAGTGGAGAGGTGTTGACAGGTTATGCATTTCTTGCAAAGACAAGGCTGTGTCCCACTTGATGTCTTTTGGGCCATGGGGAGTTTGCTTTTGATGAGCTGGGCACGGTTAGAGGGTAGTTTGGAGGCCAGGAGTAGAGAAGCTGGGAATATTTTTCTTAAGGTCTGATCTTTGCCAAGAATAGGCTGTCGTTTCTTGACAATGCTTCCACATGGCTCCAGCGTTGGGTGATAGGTGACCACCAGGGCTGTGTGGTCACAGGGAAACTTCTTTTTGTATTGTAGGAGGTTGGACACTAAGAATGTCTTGCAATTGAAAGCTTGTCTAACTCTGTCCTGACTATACAGTTGGTCCCATAAAAGATAACACCCTAAGACATCCTTGCCTCTCATATAATTTCTGGACCATCATGGCTACATCACCCTTGACTTCCAAAGCCAAGAGAGTATTTTGGTGATGTCTTGACTATGATCACACTTTAACTATACAAACTTCCGTTACAATATTTTTCTTGTTTTTTTAACAGAGTGGTATTTTTGGAGTTCAAATCTGCTTGCTTTGCCAACAGTTTTAATCCTGTAGGATAACGTATGTTAGAAGAACTAGTAAAGGGGCTACAGATTCACTCAATTCATTTCAGCAGGACTGCTCACCGCAGAAGACTAGTGGTACAGCACCATGCTTCCAAACATACTCTTGCTCATGGTTCAAGTCAACCAGTTGCCTGTAATTCAGCACTCAACATAATTACACCAGGAATGTCTGGTCTCACTCACCTTGCTCACTTGGGTTCAACACACCATTAACGCAATGGATAAGAACTCAATAGCTAATACTAACCATGTGCTTAATCTTAAGTACTTTTAATTAATTAGGGCCAGAGTGCCCAGCACCTTCTAAAGTCAAGCCAGTTTTGAGGATAGTTGAATGCCACAGACTTTTAAAACACTGCTGTCATGTTAATGCAATAAGTGATATTAAAGATCCAGCCCACCATTTCACTCAGCCTGCAGAGCTCCTGGAATAGCTGGGAATCCAGGGGGTGCGGCGAGCAAGGGCAGGGCCCACTACCAAATTCTGGTGTACAGACTACAGAGTCCCATGGGATACACGTGTCAGTAATGGTGAAGTAGGGGGGTGTCGTGAGGGTGGGGCAGGAGGAGTTAACCACTATACTGCTACCACTTGTCCAGCCACTGCTGCCAAGTTTGGATCTGGCATGTGAGCTGTCTCATAGTCCACATCCAGCCCAGGGGGCTGTTCAAGTTTGACACCCCTGCTTTAATAGAATCAAACGTGGCAGTTAAACTTTCAGTTGTCTAGCCTTTCATCCAAGGATCTCAACATGGATTTAAAATGTCAAGCAAATAACATGAATACCACAGAACAGAATCTCACAATCTTTTGTTGAAAGGCACACTTTCTAACTGGCACACACAAAAATGGCAATGTCTCCCCAAAACCCAATAAAAATTCAGAAGAAGATAGCTGTAATTTAATCTCATATTGCTAACCATTAGTCTTACAAATTGTCCTCCATGACATTTAGTACGTTCGTGGTGCATCACAATAAAATGAAGAGAAAATTACAAAGATCAAACTAACTAAGGATGTGAGTTTACTCCTCTTACTCACCTTGAGCAGTAGTCGCTGTGAGTCAGGCAATTTAAAGAATAAAATACCAATCCACAGGAGTAAGAATAGACAGAATCAGGCCCTAAATGAACAGAATACATTCAGCCTAGCACAGTACCTTTGCTTTTTTAAATCACCCTACTAATTCACAATGAGTCTCCTATTAATTAATGTGAATTAGCAAGTTTTGACTTTCTAATTTAGTTCATTTTAAGTGTTTTACACTACACTGATGATTTAAAAAGCTTGTTAAAACAGGCATGCAGGTGTGAGCTACAAATCATACCAAAATTGCTGCTCTCATTCAGCTCGGCATGTGCTTTTAGTCCTTGGCCCACTCAGCTATTGTGTTTGTTTTGGGTAGTTTCTAACTCTAGCTGAGCTGGATTTCTTCAAGGAGCAAGATACAATGTTCAAGTCACAGCGTGGCATAAAGAAGGAAGGCTCCTTTAAATGCTTTGTGGATCCCTGAAAATCCCACTCCATTTTCTCATTTTTGTTGCATACCCTCTGCAACCTTGAGTCACTGGTTTGTAACCATGATGTTGTTCTTTTGTACTTTGCACAAGGCCCAGACAGGAGCCCTTTTGGAATATGTCAACACTAGTCCTTAATTGGTCTCTCAAGAATAATGAAAGGCATTCCAGTCTCCAAAGGGCTCAGTGTGCTGTTTTTACTGCTGTCGCAGCCCTCACTGATACAGAGGCTGAAAGACAAAGACATGGATGCAGCTCCCTTAGCCGTGGAGAAACAATCCCACTGTGCTGTAGCGGAGGAGTTTCATACTGCATTTTGAGTAAGCCACCCCATCAATTATCCATGCCTGTACACTGTCTGGCAACATCCCCTTTTACCTACCCTAAATAACAATTTGATATTAATAGGCATTTGGGATGGAAAGGCATAAAAGTAGCTGTGCTTTGCCTGATTGTTTTATGCTTAATGCTACAAATAATATGAAACAAGGCGTCGTGGGATGCGCTCTAATACGATCCGCGTCTTTTTCCGTCTATCATTCAGCACCAGAGGCCTGCGTTTAGAAAGAAACCCCTCGCATGGACCGGAGGAACATTTAAACGAGGAAGGCCGAAAAAAAAGGAAAAGGGAAGTCTGAAATGGAGAGTGAAGGGCTGATGTGGAGCTGTGAGTCCGCGATGCGGATCACCCGAACACAGTTGCTTCGGCTTCAGTAGCAAGGCGCTCCTGTTCGCTGGGTGACTGCTCGGCAGAGGCGAAGCAGCTCTGGGGGCTTTGCTGCAGCACAAGGCGCTCGCATTCAAGCCGCGCCGCCTGTTCGCAGCGCCGGCCCTTGGCGGAGTGTCCGCCGGCCGCGCAGGGCCTGCCCGGGCGCCGCGCCCATGTGACCGGGGGGAGGCGGTCCTCGCGCCGCCGCCGCAACCCTGAGGGGAGCGGACACGACATCGAGGGCACTGGCTTTTTTGGGTTTTGTTTAAAATATACGGAGCGCTGCACGTGAACGACGGGCTCTCGTTTGCGCCCCCTCCCCCCGCCGTGTCCCTCCTTCCGCGGGGGAGGAGCTGGCCCAGCCCGGAGCCCCCAGCGCGGACCGAGGGGAGGAGCACGTGGGGCCGGGCCGCTTTATCCCGGGGCCGCGCTGCCAGGTACGGGGCCCCGAGCCCGGCCTCCTCCATTGCCTCCTCCTTCCCCTTCCCCGGGGCCGGGGCCGGGGCCGGGCGGGGCCGGGCGGCGGCGGCGGTTGGGGAGGCGCGGGCCGGCCTGGGCTTCTCGGCTGCGCTGCCTCAAGGGGAGGGGTGTGTGTGTGTCATGGGTGTGCCTGTGTGTGTGTCATGGGTGTGCCTGTGTGTGTAATTGTGTGCCTGTGTGT